TTTTTATTATAATTATTTTTTAAATATAAATAAAAATTAAAATAAATACATTAAATAATATTCTAAAAATTAATTGAGAACTAAACTTCAAACAATGTTAAATCCTAAAACAAGAAATCTAAATTGTCTATAATGGAAAGGGAATCTCACTACTCAGACAAAGGGGTCACTTTCCTCGCACTTAAAGCAGGGCATGGGATTCATTTCAAGCACTAGGAAGCACAACACTTCCATGGGTTTGCTCTTGGTCTTCTTCCCTGAAGATCATAACAAAGGAACCAATCCCGTTCTGGATAGAGAAGTCGCCGCCGCCGGTAACTTCTCTTCTTCTTCTCCAGCCACGGCGAGAGTCATCAGGAGGACGAATTCTTCCAGCCTTCTTTTCACCAAAGCTCAATCCACAATCTCAATTTGTGTTTTCTTGGTTTTCGTTACTCTTCTTGTTTTTACCCTCTCCACTTTTGAACCTGCCATTCCCATCCCCACCACCGTATCTGCCTCCACCTCTCGGAGATTCCTGACCCAGAAATTCTTACTCACCAAGCCCGATTCTCCTTCTTTCTCTTCCTTTTGGGTGTCTAAATTGTCCCGGGTCAAGTTCAGAACCACGCCGTATGTCAAGAAGCAGAGCAGTTGGATTTCTTCGTTTGCATTGCAGGGGATGGGTACTCTGTTTCGGCGCGGAACCAGAGCAATGAACAACCTTGTGGTGACCCATGTCTCCGAAGACGTGACGGAAGACGAACTCCGGCTGTTTCTGAGGTCATTGCATCGGTCCGGCGTCACTGCGAAATCCGACGTTGTATTTATCTTCGGTTCATCGTCGTCCGCGAAATTCTACTCTGTTGTTCAGGAGGAGAATGATTCGTTTCTGAAGCTCCTTGACCCTCACAAAAAGTCTGTCAATTCGACTCGTGACTCAGTATTCAGTTTCGATGTGACTCACTTTGTGAAATCCGGGAAGAAAGATGTCGGAGAGCCATTGTGGGGAAAGAAAATTCGAGGGAATTACAGTGATTTCAGTAAAGGTGAGACCGAGTCAACTCGGTTGAGTTATGGATCGGTTCTGGGGTTCGAGACCAACGAGTTGGACCCGGAGAACTCGCTGTCCGGGTTTTTAGGTCATGTTCCGATGAGTTTAAGAAGATGGGCTTGTTACCCAATGCTACTCGGCCGAGTCAGGCGCAATTTCAAGCATATAATGTTAGTGGATGTTAAAAATATGCTAATAACCGGTGACCCACTCGGACGACTCAAGAGCGGGAGTCCCGAGTCAGTTTTTTTATTGGCGGCCAAACAAGGAGGAAATAAGCATAGCAAGAAAAACCCGGAGAAAACTCAGTCTAACTACTCAGTAAACTCAGCGATTCTCATGGGCGGAACTCGGGGCATTCGGAGACTATCCATTGCAATGCTTACCGAAATCGTTCGAGCTGCCATACAGCACAAGAAGAAGAATTCAATCTCTGAGTCAGGAATTTTGAGTCAACTCGTCGGCAACCAGCACTTGTTAAAGAATGTCAACGTTGTCAGAGCCGCCGAGTCGATCCCAGATGCGAGTTCACTCACTGGGTCAAGGTCCAAGTCGAGCATGGATTATTCCATAATCCAACGCGGTAATAGTAATGGCAATGAAATTAATTCTATGATTAAGAAGCAAATCTGTTCATGTGAAGTAGATTCTTCCTCTGTTTATAGAGATTGTTAGCAAATACCCCAATAAAAAAAAAAAAAAAAAGAAGATAGGGCAAATGAAAAAATTTTTTATTTTGTGAAAAAAATAAAAGATGTATGTTTTTTTTTTAAAAAAGAATATGAGTATAATCAATAATTTAAATAATTCAATGATTTTTTTTTCTGTTAAAAATAAAAAATATTGAATTTGAATTGCATGTTACTGGGTGAAGTGAAATAAAAAATAAAAAATAATTAACTTTTATTGTACAATCAAAATTAAAATATATATACATCCACGCACATGAGTATACAATTCTTTTCGCTCTATTAATTCTATACGTACTTATAAAATACCTCACTTACACTTACCGGCAAGGCGATGCCTCAATGGCACATTGGAATTATTTTGGTTAAATATCAATTTTTGTACGGAACTAAAATTTGTCCACAAAGTAAGTAAATTCCTGTTTTAGTTACCAAATTTAAAATTATGACTCTTTTTCGGTCTCCAAATATGGGTATGTTAAATTTAAGGATCAAATCAAGGTCCACAGACAGTTTTAAGACTAAAATTGGGATTTAATTAATGATAATTTTGTGATTAAGTAAGTTTTTAAAGTTAATATAGGTAATAAATTTTATCCACGTTATTAATTCTTGTCACATTTTTACATCATTAATTTAAAGAAAAAAATAAATTTTAATGTTAATTAATATGTTACATCAGCTAGAATTCAGCAGAAGGACAAAAAGGAGGTAAAACTTAAAATTTTAGGATTAAAATAGTAATTTACTTAGTTTAAGAATTAAATTGAGACGTCATACCACAGTTGAAAAACTAAAATTGAGGTTTAACTAATTAATTTCACTAAAATGACATTGTAAAAAATTTAAACTTGTATTTTTAACATAACTTGAATAAGTATTTGATTATCTTAACCAACTTGAAAGGGTTAAGTTTTGTTTTTTCCATTATTTTTAATTTTTATTTTTTAAAATTTTGTAATGGGAAGACTAATTTTACGTTGAACATGTGAAAATATGAAATTCAACAAAATGCTGCGAAATTGAGGGAAAAAGAGAATTTTCACAAGGCAAGTCTCGTCCCCATGAGTTGAAGTCGAACAAAATACCCAAAAGCATGGATTCTATAAGTGCGTCTGCTGCCATATTTGAATGTATAACTTTCAAATTCAATTGTGAACTTTGAACTTTGACGTTGTGATTCTTTTGAGAGACAACACACCATAATGTGGGTTGGCAAAAAAATACTACTATACTAAAGTACTAATTCAAATAATTCAGAATGTCTTAGTTGGTTTGGTTAATTGAAATTTTATTCTACTACCTTTTGAACCAAATAATCATGACCTTTCAAGTTCTTCCACAAATTGAGGACAGTAAGTTTACTTTTTGGCTGATAAAAAAAGATTAAGGTTACTTTTTGAATTGACTTTAATCTCATGACCAAAATTTGTGAAATCATAGGACTAAAGATGACAGCTAAATTCCTTACTCATTTCCGCCTT